GAGGCTCCTTTGCGCCAGGCTCAGCGCCCCCAGCTCCCTTGGCTGCTCCTCACCAGACTTGGGCTCTAGACCCTTCCCCAGCTTCTTCGTTGCCCTTCTCTATCCATGCTCCAGCCCCTCAAGGTCCTTCTGAGAGTGAAGGGCCCAAAACTGACCCAGGATTTGAGGTGTGGCCTCCCCAGTGCTGTGTCCAGGGGGATGATCCTGCCCTGCTCCTGCTGGCCACACTAGTGCTGCTCCAAGCCAGGATGCTGGTGGCCTTCATGGCCACCTGGTTCCCTGCTGCCTCATCTCCAGCTGGCTGTGACAAACCCCCCCAGGTCCTTTCCTGCCAGGCAGTTTCCAGCCTCTCTGCCCCACTGGAGCACTGCAGGGGGTTGTTGTGGCCCACACACAGACCCAGCACTTGCCCTTGCTGTCTCTCAGAGCACACCTTCCCCTGGGTGGCTGCCTGAGCCTGTCAGTGACTGGTGGTGTTCCCCTGGCAGCACATCGATAAGGTGTTCAAACACAAGGACCTGCAGCAGCAGCTGGTGGATGCCAAGCTCCAGCAGGCACAGGAGATGCTGAAGGAGGCAGAGGAGAGACACCAGCGGGAGAAGGACTTTGTAAGTCTTTGAGCAGCTCTCTAAAGGTTGTGGGCACTCTGCTTTTTGCCTTGTCCCTGCTGTTGCTATTGGACCCCTGGGTGCAGAGCCCAAATTGGGTCAGGCCATCAAGGCCTCCTGCACTCCCAGCACCCCCAGGAGCCAGTCTGGAGGAGCCCTGCTCTGCTCTGTGTCATTCTCCCAGCCCACTCCTGCCTTCAGGCTGAGCACCAGCTGGGTGAGGACGTGTTGAGAGCCTCCTGGTAACTGCTTCTGCTCTTCCCTAGCTGTTGAAGGAAGCTGTGGAGTCGCAGAGGATGTGTGAGCTGATGAAGCAGCAGGAGACCCATCTCAAGCAGCAGGTGAGTTACCCAGGCTGTGTGCTCAGCCTGGTTATTTGGTTTTTTTCCTTCCTCTCCAAGCAGGAAGCAACACAGAATTCTTTAATATGAAAAAAGCAGGGGCAGGGTTGCTCCTGGGGTTGACCCTGGTGAGTCTGTGTCAGCCCAGTGCAAGCTGAGACCCCCTCCAGCATTTCTGCCTGCTGGGAGGAAGGGACCTTGCTTCTCACCAGTGTGTTTATGGTGCTGGGAGCAGTCGTGTGGTCACACCTTGCTGAGTCAGACCCAGAGAGTGCCTCCTGCCACGGCCAGGAGGTGTTTGCAGAACACATCAGCCTCTGAGCATGTTTCCCTAGGAAAGAATTTTTCCACATTCCCCAGTACCTAAAGTTGGCAGAGCAGCTCCGAGCTGCGCGTTGGTTTGTCGTCAAGTCCAGTCACAAGATAATGAGCTCAGCTCCTGGCTGACATCTCCCCTGTCCTGGGGGGGCTCTTGGGAGGTGCTGTGGGGAGCAGTGTGGAGCTGTAACCGTGTCTCTCCCCACAGCTGGCTCTCTACACAGAGAAGTTTGAAGAATTCCAGAACACCCTTTCCAAAAGCAGCGAGGTGTTCACGACGTTCAAGCAGGAGATGGAGAAGGTGGGTGACACTCCCCCCTCAGTGCTTCTGGGCAGTTGTGTTTAGTTCTGCTGGGATTAGAAACAGCCACGAGCTGGCTGCTCGTGGATTAACACTGTCCTTGTGCAGTGACTCGTGTCCCACCTGTGTCAGAGCCAGTGGCACTGCCCTGGCCCCTCTTTTCTTGTTACCTGGTCGGTGTTTCCCTCTGGTGAAACCAGCCAGTCCAGGAGGTGCTGCCCAGGGCAGCCCAGTCTGTGCTGGGATCACGGGTGCCTGTCTGAGGACACGTGGGAGGTGACTGACCACAGCCTGTGGCTCACTCATTCCCTTCCTGATTCTGCAGATGACAAAGAAGATCAAGAAGCTGGAGAAGGAGACCACGATGTACCGCTCACGCTGGGAGAGCAGCAACAAGGCACTGCTGGAGATGGCTGAAGAGGTGAGGAGGCTGAGGCAGCTGGAGCAGCGTGGTGATAGACTCCTAGAACAGTCATAGACTTGATTTGGTAGGAAGAGACCTTTAAGGTCACCGAGTCCAACCATCCCCCAGCCCTGCCAGGTCCCCACTGCCCCGTGTCCCTCACCCCACATCTCCACAGCTTGGAAACCCCTCCAGGGGTGGGGACTCCACCACTGCCCTGGGCAGCCTGGCACAGCCCTGGGCAACCCTCCAGGGCAAGAAATTGTTCCTCAGGGGCAACCTCAACCTCCCCTGGGGCAACCTGATGCTGGTTCCTCTTGTCCTTGTCCTCTTGTCCTCCAAGAAGAGCTTGACCCCCCCCTGGCTCCAGGCTTCTGTCAGGAGCTGTGCAGAGCCAGAAGGTCTCCCCTGAGCCTCCTTTGCTCCAGGCTCAGCACCCCCAGCTCCCTCAGCTGCTCCTCCCCACACTTGGGCTCTAGACCCTTCCTCAGCAGATGAGTTGTGTGGTGCTGGGTTGGAGCTGAGGGATAGCAGTGGGTTGTATTTTTCCCTTCAGCTCTATTTCCTTCCATGTACATGGTGGTAAGAACCCTTTGTCACCTGGCAGAAGTGACAGTGCAGAGCAGCATGGAAGTCAGACAGCCCCAGAGGCTCATGTCCTCTGTGGGGGCAGAGGCAGAAAGAAGCAGTGACAGGATCATCAGATCCTTTGACTGCTAAATTCTAAAGTTTGCTTGGTCACAACCATTTTCCTTTCGAGCTTCTCTTTGAGGCTTCACCTCTGCCTGTCCCCAGCAGGGGGGAGGGGGGGGCGGAGCCTGAGCCGAGTCTCTGTTTACAGAAAACCCTTCGGGACAAAGAACTCGAGGGACTTCAGGTGAAAATCCAGCGCCTGGAGAAGCTATGCCGAGCCCTGCAGACGGAGCGCAACGACCTCAACAAGAAGGTGCAGGACCTGTGTGCCCACACGCCCCGGGCAGACCCCGACCTGCTGGAGCCCCTGAAGGACCCGGCCCGGGACG